GCCTCATCGGGTGCAGTGAAGAAACCAGGCATGCTTCCTCCTGAGTCGCACAGCCTGTTTACACGAGAAACTCCGCTGTGCCGCCACAAGGAAATGGGAGGGTGTTGCAGCGCTTCACCCTGGCCAAGGTCATTGCGTTCATTTCCAGACCTCTGTTCCACAGTCGAGCACGCCTCCGTTGGGCTCCTCATAGCACTGTAGCCTGACTCACCTGCAGTCCTGGGTTCCCCCTGTTAAAACAGTCTCCCTCCCTTGTCCTGCTGTTTCACTGGGAGCTGATTTAGAGAACGAGTCTGTTTTTCTCCCTTTGCTGGTGGTGGTTTGCTAGCTAGTTTGATCGGATGAGCAATTGCTTTGGTGCTCTGTATAAGCAGGTTTTAAGCGTCTGTTTTTGCGGTAGCTTGGATCTCCATTGATACATTCACTATTCCAGCATTTGACCCTGGTAATTATCAATGAAGGGAGCTGGTTATGGCAAGCTCCTGCAATCAAGTGGACAGGAATGCCTGCAGGCTTAGTTACACTAAGTTTCCCTGAAGCTTGTACTGCCTGCACAGCACTAATGCAAGGGAAGGGTACAACTGTAGCGATCAGACTTGGAGACTCCATTAAAACGCAGTAGAGGGCTTCACTTCCGTTCCAGCTAGTCTAATGAGACCAGGCTTTGAACCTCATTAAGCTCTGTGCACTGCCAAAAGCCCACAGCAATTCATTAGTTTCCCTGCTAATGAGCATCAGGACTTAAAAGGCAGGTTTTTGACATCCATATCGCAGCCAACGTGAGCTGACTTCTGGAGCAGAGGCTTAGCTGTCATGGTGTTTTTTTTGGAGACCTGGGAGTTGGGGCCAAGGCTGTTACCTGCTGGAGCAGAAGGGATCGCTGGTGACAGGCCTGAGCGAGGCTGGGCGTGCCCCCAGTGAAGAGATGGGCAAGTTCTGGTTGGTTTCCTCTGCCTTGTCTGGGGGGTGTAATTCATGCCATAATACATTAGCCAGTGTCAGAGCTGAAGGTACAGGATGTGCAATGCTGATGTGTGGGGTGGCTCAGCAGGTTGGGACTGGATAATTAATGATGAATGCAAAGACTCCGAAGAAGTGCCTAATTAGAGCATAATAAGGTTTTTAAGACTAGTTTTGAAGGGGAAAGATGTATGCAGCTGTACACTTTCATAATACAGGAAATGTTTTTGTGAGCCATCTCTCTTATGCCGTGTCACACTGTAGGGTTGATATACAGTACCTCTTTCTGAGCTGTGATCTATTTCAGGATCTGTGTAATTTACTACGTTGTCATTTCGCAGAAATGATGCCACATAGTGTAAAAATAGGACGAAAAAACTTTTCTTATGACATCCGAGAGGAGGAGATGTGCTATGAAGGCAGGTAAAAGACACATTGCACAATACATTTAACACAGCGGTTGTCCAAATTGGGCAGGTTATTCGTGTGGGAATAAAAGATCTTAGTTCTGTTGCTCTTGAATCTAGGCAGTCTTAATCGACACCCAGATGGGAGGAGCTCAGATTCGCTGTGCAAGGGCTGGTCAAGCCAGTTAATGATTATATCGACCTCCTGCACTATTTGCTTGATGGCGATGTCTGAAAAGTGTGTTGAATTACCTGGTGTTTCTCACACCCACTGCTACAGTATGTCCTTTTGGTATTTCTTTGGCTTTTCCCCCTTCTGTTTTGATTTCTTTGTATTTCCTTGCGCCGAGATGACGGGTGCTCATTTGGTTTTGGGGATAATCCTGTTAAACGGTGGTCAGTTGTTTTTAGGGATAATCTCTCACACCTGTATAGGTGGGGTTTCAGGTCTCATTTTTCTCAGTACCTTGCTATGAACTGAACGGTCAGCTCCTAGCCTGAACCTGCTTTTTCAACCCATTTCTGCACGGAGCCGCTCCCTGTCCTTCTGCCCGAGAGAAGGACAGCCTTTTGAAATTCTGTAGATCATGGACATTCACTTCTGGAATGTTTTCATTCTGCACTGGACACTTCCTGATTTAATTAGTATCAGTTGTTCATTTAATTGCTTTTAAGTCAGCCTCCTGGCTCTTGCTCATTGAAAGTTCTAACCTACTTGTAAAAAAACCCGTTGAACTGCAGCTCTCTAGGACCAGAACAATCTCTGCTGTCGAAACCATGTGTCCCAGACGACAGTTTAAATTGACAGGGTCTCACTGTGTGGGTCCAATGAAAGTCCGAACTCTGCAGCATTTAGCTGGGCTTTGCATCTGCAGTGATTTAATGCTAATCGGCAGAGTGGAATAATTCTCATTGTGTACAGGGTAGGTACAGAAGTACAGCTGGTCATAAAAGAGAGACTGCAAGCCCTTATCACTGCGCTTAAAACAGATGTGTTGAACATAGTTTGCTTATCTTTCCTATTCCAAGAAGTCCACACACCTTTTCTCTGCACAATCTTATCATGCACCAGTACCAGGTAACAGGCACAACTGACAGACAATGGTATCTCCCGTGAAAATCATTCTTACCTCCCTGCCACAGGGAGCAAATGAAAGTGGACCTGAGCAATCAAGAGGCCTGGTATTGAATTCCAATTTATTAAAATCCTGTCCAAACACCCAAGTTAAATATTAAACATCACAGGCGCTGATTATGGATTTCTGATAAAACTGTGGAGATGGGGGAAACTAATATGCTTGTAGGAGGAAAGAGTTGTGCTGATATGCAAAATATTGTAAAATAAACCATTTTCCAATAGGATTCTATTATCCTTCACTGGGTTGTGTCCAAAAAGTAGTCATGACCGTGCAAAGGCTCTGACTGATTATATAATTTCAGCATACCAGTCAGCTATGTTTATTTCATTCCCCAAAAGCACAGCTTTTCAGATGATCCAGAGAACATTGGTGTGCTCTTTCAAAAGCATTCAGGCCCTGTGGGCTGGGTGTATTTCCTGTTTGCACCCTGAGTTTCCAGCAGAGACTCTGGGCTGTTAAGACACCCCTTGGGTAAAATCAGCTTTCTGATGCTGACTGGAAAGGATGTGCTACATAAATTAAATTCCATGGGGGAGTATGACCTGCTTTGTATGATAAGGAAGAAAATGCAGTTCTGCTAGCATGGCACTGCAGCACCTGCAGCAATGCTAGCAGATGTGCCATCTTATGGTGACGGTGAATTGTGGCGAGCTGATACAGTATTGAAGGTAGTTCTGAACATGCAGTGCACTTGTGTTGCACAAGCGCCACCTTGTGGTTTAGATGAAAAGAGCAGCGTATGGCCACAGGTTTTGCAGGGGAGGGTTGTCGAACAGCTTTTCCCCTCGAAATTGTACAGAAAATGTATTCCACCGTATTACATCTTTTTGTAACATCTAACAGTGCACAAACCCTCCCGGAAAAACTGCTACATTATCTCTCCTGTGTTTCGTTAAATTCGTTAGCTAAAAGTTAAAGATAGAAGATGGCACAATTAAAGACAAGAGTTGAGACTGCAGTACAAGATGCAAGGAGCTAACACACCAATTAAATTAAAAAAAAGGATTTTTGAAGAAATTTCCAGTCTTGTATAGTGCCTCCCTGTAGTTTGCCATGATTCTTTGGCAATTTCATCTTTCTTCACAATACTTTTACCATGGTGAATTTGAATACTGAAATGACTGTTAAAGGTCCAGAAACCAAATATTGTACACAGCGAGAGGTAAAAAACACTGAATGTCAGGTTTTTGTTCCTGTTTTCCATCTCCCAGTAAGCCACAAATCCAGGAAATCTAATGGAGACAGTACAAAATAATAATACACTATCGCTATTTTTATTTGATTAAATTACATTTTATTGCAATGGGGTAAATCAGAGCAGAAGGTGCAAAGATCAAGCATTTCATAGAACATTCCTTGAGTAGACATGGCTCTCAGGTTAGCCAATTAGTTAAGTTTTAATTAGACTCTAATATTGATGAATTTCAAAATGTGTATCTTTCACTAGAGAACTACCATATGTGCTGCTTGAGGTTGTGCTGTTTAGCAGAAACCTAAGCGTGGAATTGCATTGATGTGCCTAGTTACGAAACGTGCCAAGTTCAAGCATTGATTACGTTAAAACCTGTATTGACAATTCATACCACAAGCTGCCATGAGGCACTGGACTTCAAGCGAGATGTATCAGTTACAGGCAAGGTCTCTTCATTCATATTGGATACAGGAGTTTAGTGTTTGAACTGCTTTCTGGTTTGATGATGCATAAACACTCAAATAAATTAGTCTTTTCTGATTGAGCTAGTGCCCACTAGGAAATATACCTTATACAGGTTCTCACTGCACATGTATTTGCATGTTAAATGAGCAATGGAGTAGATTACATGCAAATACAAACCAAGTGGTACCGGAGACACATTTGTGGTGTTGGATTTAAACTTGAAGTGAATCCCAGCATTTTGTAAACCAAAGTGCACTGAATGAAAGTGCTTATCCAAAGAATTGGGGGGATGACAATCAAGGCACTTTCATCTCAGTCACCCCCTCACATCATTTCTTGAAGATGTGACTAAAAGGGAAAATTGTGTATGAGGTACATTTGTCTCCTGGATCCCTCCTCCACCCCATCTCCACCTTCACAGCTGCCCCTTGGGTATCTCCTCACTCTGCTTGGGCGTCCCAGGGCCCTCCACCTCCACCAGGGGGCTGAGCCAAATCTCACAACACCTCAATCCTCAGCAAACAGCCCCAGTGCATCTAACTGGAGAATGAGCAGCAGCAGCCCATCTCACCCTGCAGCTCCCAGCTGGCAGTCCCCTGAAGCTCAGCAGGTGTGAGCCTGGTCAGTATCTGGATGGGAGACTCCTGGGAAAGCTGAGGCTGCTGCTGAAAGAGTGGGGCCAGTAGGGGGCGCTCACCCTGCGGTCTGTGTGGGTCCTAATGCCCCAGTATAGTGACGGGGACACTATACTGTAAAAAGGTGCTGTCTTTCAGATAAGTAAAACTGAGGTCCTGACTGTAGTCATTAAAAATCCCAGGGTGCTTTTTGAAAAGAGTAGGGGTGTTACCCTGGCCACATTTCCTCCTGGCCTTTACTAATCATGGCCTCCTAATAATCCCCATCTCTGAACTGGTGTGTGGCGAGCGTTCTGGTGCATTGTGGCTGCCGGCGCATTAGTCAGGTGGGGCTGCACACTGGTGGTGGAGGAGGGGATCCCCATTACCTGTTAAGAGCTTTGAGTGGAGTGTCCTGGAAACGTATACAGTATAAGTTTAAGCAATTATTATTATTATTAATTCTTGGGTGCCTTTATTTCTCCTGAAAACAACTGCTTCAGTGCTAAAGGTTACCTGGTATTTCACGGGAGCCGAGAACAGCCTCTGCGGGCTGTGTCTGTGAGGGTAGCCCATCCTGTCCACAGCAGGACACTGAGGGAAGCTCAAGGCTCTGTAAGCGTGTTTCACCACTGACCACTTCCTGGACTTTCACATGCTTTCACAGTGTGGCACAGATGACAATGCATCAGCTAGTTCCTTTGAAGGCAGACAGGGAAGTGTCACTGGTATGAAGCCAAACAGTCTTTGTGTAATTGACTGGTATTGTTAGGCCTATAAGAGTGTTCCACATTGTAAAAGTGCGTCACATCTTCAGCACATATAGTACAGTCCCAATAAGCCAAGCACGTTCACTGTCGGGGGCAGGCACTTGAGCCACACAAGAGGAACAAAAATGCCCCCTGTTTTTTTTCTTCAATAACTGCATTGCTTGCTGCATCACAATATACATGCAACAAAATTTACTTTGTCCAGGACATCTAAAAGTCTCATCCACTATGGAAAAAGTGAGGTGCTGTCTGTATTCCAGTTCTCAATCATACAAGTAAAGGCCACTTCTCCCTTTTTGAATGTCGAACCCAATAAAGCTAATATACACCTTCACAATATTAGCCAGGCAGGAGAACAATAATCTCCCTTTTATAAACTGTTTTCTTTTTGCTTAAACAGGTAGATTTTCAATTCTACACTGAACCACTGCATTGCTGTAACAAAGTATGTGCCCTGCTAACAGATTTCAGTAACCAAAATCAACACAAATATTATTGTGACAACCATTAACAAAAAAAGATGCATCCTGAGTCCGATTACATCCTGTGTCCCAGCTGCAACACCACCAACCAAGTGCCAATAACAGTTTTCAAAAGCTCAATTCCTCTTGGAAATGCTAGCAGCAGACATGTCTACTTTAGGCAGGGAAACTGTCTTTGCATCCCAAACCCTAAATGCCTTCTCTAACGCAGCAGTTTCTAGCCCTGTTCCTAAAGGACACAGGTCTTCCTCTGATTTGAGATACTACACTGAATGCTTACTTGACTTCTCTCCATCTCTTTAAGAGCTGAAACCACAGAAAGGATTGGAATCAGCCAATTATTTCTCCAGCCGGGAGTCTGACGAAGAAATGCAGAGCTCAGCTGCACTGCAGGGACTGAAGTGAAAGATTTACCTTGCTAAACCAATTAAGGACGTGCTGCACTGAGGATCTTCAGGGCTGATCAGACCTGCTCTACCCAAATGGCAACCTGTCAAAGGCCAAAAAAAATCTGTCGACAAATTAAATAGAAATCACCAGCCAAAGAACAGTCCTCCCCTTTCTCGTCTGGCCTTATAATTTTGGTGGAAGAAGGGTGTCTGTCCAGTGCCCGGGCGTGATTCAAAGTCCTGGTGCTGGCAGCTCGCAGGGGACAGCGGGCACCCCTGTCCCGGCTTCTGCGGACTAGCTGTCCCCACGGATGGCCTTCCCGAGGATCCTCAGGCGGGACATGACTTCGTCCCAGTCCAGGTACGCCCCCTCCAGGTGGCGCGGGGTCCCGCGAGTCGACACGTAGCTCCGCCTGCCGTGCAGCAGGCGCCAGTTGTCAAAGGTCACCACGTCACCTGGTGGCAAGACACGGGGGAGGGGGGGGGGACATGTTACTCCCATACTCCCACCAGTGGGAAAGCCCTGCAATCTAATCAGCTAGCAGCCAATGAAAAGCGCGAGATACTCAACACACGCATTCGAAAAGCCCAAATTCAAAACCGGCCAGCAGCCACATCAGCACTGGAGCTCAGCAGGTGTGAGCTTGGTCAGTACCTGGATGGGAGACTCCTGGGAAAGCGTGAGTGGGGCCAGTAGGGGGCGCTCACCCTGCGGTCTGTGGGTCCTAATGCCCCAGTATAGTGACACCACTATACTGTAAAAAGGTGCCGTCCTTCAGATGAGACATAAAACTGAGGTCCTGACTGTTTTGCGAAAAGAGTAGGGGTGTAACCCCGGCATCCTGGCCTAATTTCCCCCTGGGCCTTTACCACTCATGGCCTCCTAATAACCCCCATCTCTGAACTGGCTTCATCACTCTGCTCTCCTCCCCACTGAGAGCTGGTGTGTGGTGAGAGGACTGGAGCATCATCCAGGTGGGGCTGCACACTGGTGGGGGTGGAGGGGATCCCCATGACCTGTAAAGAGCTCTGAATGGAGGGTCCAGAAAAGCGCAATATAGGTGTAAGCAATTATTAATTATTATTATTGCCACCCCTTAAAAAATTAATCCCAAATCATTTGTACGCATTAATGCAAGTTAAATGCGGACTGTCATGTTATCCTTGTTTTTCACGTCCCTGGTCTTGCGCTAAAGAACAGGTTTTCTGATGGACGTTCTAACAAGGGTAAAGGGATGGCACCAGATGAAAACGGACGCACGCACACGAATGCGTGTGACGCGTTGGGCACGCAGCATCCCTGTGAGGCCCTGCGCTGGCCCCCGCAGCCCGGACTGACCTGGCTCCATGCGGTAGGTGACCAGGTTCTGGGGTCGGCCCATGAGGTCCACGAAGGCCTTCAGGGCGCCGTAGAAGGGCTGGATCTGCTCCAGAGGCGCGTCCAGGACGGAGTCCCGCGTGGCGTTGTTGTAGTTGATCCGCACCACCTGGCCGTCGGCGTCCACGCTGCCGGCGGGGGGGGACAGACGAGCGTCACGCACACGCTCCCAGAGGCGGGCAGAGAGACGTCCGGAAACGTCCCGTCTCCCCAGCTAGGAGGCCCCCAGAACCCTCCTCCCTCTGCTTCCCCACCTACCCAGTTCACTAACACCTCACCAAATACTTCAGCACCGCAGGGGTGACGGAAAGTTCTGGGGGGGGAAAAGGGCAAAATCTTTCCAGAGTTTTTTTCCAGTTCTGTTTTAATTGGTGGGGCCTTTCATCGTAGAGGGGAGCAGCTCCGCTCTTTTTATGTGGGTTAGAAAGAACCGGCAGGGGTGAGTGCATTTCAAACCCAAATGAAAGTAAAATGAACACAGTAACATGTAAAACCTCCAATTTACATCACAAAATAGATTTCCAGGTATGAGCCGTGCCATATTCTACGATTCAGAACGAGGCAACAAAACTTCCCCCGACGCAATATGGCCTTATTAGACTGTAAACAGAGGTTTGCGACAACCTAGTGACTTATTGGCGACTATTTTGTGCTTAATTAAAAATTTTGGAAATGTATTTTGTTACCAAGATTTTATAACTGCTCTGAGGAACTGGGACTGCAGTTCCCCTTTAGAACTTGTCCACCTCTATTACTTTATGCTGCAAATTCAATTTTAATAGTGCTTTATGATCAATTCCTGAATAAAACAATCATTTTCATTGCTAACTGACTGAAATGCAAGCTCTGGGATCTTCTAATATCCAGGCTTAAAACGCTTGATGCGCATGTGTTTCTAGGGTTTCAACACTAGAAGGTCAGGATTTTCCATTAATTACTCTCATTTGGGATCCGTCCTTTGATTTTATTTTTGTCTGCATTCTTATTTAAGATCAGCTTGAAGGATAAGCTTACAGACAGAGATGCTGGATGCTACTGCAAC